CTAGACACAATTATCATTGTCTGTGCTCAGAGGACTTTGTAGACGTTATTTCTGTCATATTAAACCCTCTAAAGTAGGCCAGTGTTATTTCCCCGTGGTTTATCCTGCAAAGTTGAACCTGTTTAAGGCTGCCTAGTGGCCAATGTGAGATCGGAGCCAGAGCCATCTTGGCACATAGCTCATGCTCCTTGTTACTATACCACACCTGCTCTTAATGCTAAAATGGCTGTCTTCCACATCAAAGTCATCGCCTTCTTTGAACTGTGCCTTTGGAACTTTTAGAATGCATTATTGTCTTTTCAATCTGTATGTGGTCTCTCAAAGGCCACCTTTATTCAAAGGGACAACATGACATTTTCCATTATGTTTAAATTAAACATTAGTTTCTTATCTCCACCAAGTGCCCTTTAAAATATCTTTAGGTACACCCTTCCATTTTATCTTTTAATTGGCTTACTTTGAAGAACTGCTTTATCTCATGTTTAAATATAGGGCCATCATCATCAGGTTGGGGATGGGATACTTGTTTGTTTGTTTTTAATGTATTTTTACTAAAGATTTCTTAATTTACAAAAATATGTGCATTGTCTCTTTTTTCAAGTTGCGCTTTTTACAGATCAGCTTCATTTGTTGTGAGACATTAGCGTCGCATACATTGTTAGGTTAGGAAGAAAAGAGGGGGAAAGAGGTAGAGGGGGGAATGGTGAGTGGGGTGGGGTCGGGTGGCAATGCTTCAAGTCTTCTACTTAGTATATGTGTGGGCTTTTATGTCAGCTATTCCTTTGGTGGTGAGAGGTTGGGGTTGGCCTAGGGTGTGGTTGGTTGTCTTTGATTGGCTGTAGTGAAATTTGTTTTTGTGTGTGAGTGGGTTGTTTTTTGTGTGTGTGTGTGTGTGTGTTTGGATCAGGTTAGCCAGATTGATTCATATGCTGTTGATGGGTTCTTGTTGTTGTCTTGTTGGGCTGTGTATGTGATAAAGGGGAACCATACTGGGGTGAAGGCATCTTCTTCTATTTGTCTCCGTGTCAATTTCAGTTTGTGGTTAGTTTTTCTAATAAGGCTGTTTCCCATACTATTTGATACCATTGTTCCATGCTTATTCCTGACAGGTCTCTCCAGTGTCTGGCTATGATGCTTCTGGCTGCTGAGATTAGGTGGATTTTGAGCTCTTTGTGATATAAGTGGGCATTATTATCTGGGAAGATGTTTAGGAGGGCCAGTTCTGGAATGACTTCTAATCCTTGCTTAGTTGTTTCTTATATGATTGATGTCCAAGAGTTGGGTTTTAGTTTTGTTTTGTTAAAAAAAATCTTTTTGAGGAGGGCAGAGAATGGTTAAAATATTGAAAGTGTATGGCAAAGTAATATCAGCATTCCAGATAAGAACCTAGTTTCATATTTTATTTTGCAATGGAGATACATTTGGTCGTTCTGATGGAATTATCTGTATCTGGAAAGGGAATTAAAACAACAGCAACAGCCATAACCACAAAAATTAATAACATTTATATAGTGAGCTTAACTTCTTCAGCTACAATTGTCAACTGGAAAATAATCCTGGGTCACAACAGATGAGAAGTTGAGCCTGAGAGTTAGCATGCCATCATGTGTGCTGCATCATGACAAACGCAAAATTCAGTTTCGTTCATCGTGCTGTAGCCTTATGAGGCTTTGCCCTCGGGTGGGAAAAAATATTGCGCCCGGGAAAGGGAAGTGGGAGTCAACAGACACTCAAGGAATAGTTTCGGAGAAAAAGGTTTTATTTCTATCACCCATGAACTGGTAGAAGGAGCAAGTGTGATAGTCCACAAAAGCATGCACGAAGTTCACAGTCATGTGCACAAGCATATATACCCCTTTCTAGTTCCCTCCTCCTTTCTCCTCCTTCCAGAGTCCTGCCCCATGAGTTCCTCTGAACATGAACAGAAAGCTGTCTTGGGACTATTGGACTCTTGGTGCCCTTCCCAGGAAAGGGGTTTCAGAGTGTTCAGATATGTTTCAATCTCTTGTTCTGGCATGGTTCCCAGACAGAAAGTAAGTTGCAATGTGGTTCTTTAGCAAGGCCAGAAGGCATGAGAAAGGCCTGAGAAACAATGGACTGTTCTCTACCTTTTGTTACAGCAGAGCAGAATGTTTCTGATGCTTAGCTGCTGAGAAAATGATTTTGAAAAGCTTTGAGAAGCTTTGAGCCTGCTTTGGAGGGGGTGACTTCGGGCCTAGGTGGGGTCACCTGTTCTCACCTCCTACATTCCCCCCTCTTAATCTTTGGACAGCCTTTTTCTCAAAAAGGCTCGTCCCAGGAAGGCACAGGCTGGTATACTTGGGCCAGCGCTATAATCTGGGGGCGAAGCATGCGTGCAGATACCCCCCCCCCCCCTTCTGAAGCCCACATTGCAGCCAGAAAAGTTCCTAGCGTGGACTCAGGTGTAACGGTTTGGGCTGGGAACGTACATGTCAGATTGTCACTGGCGCTCTTTGATTTATTGACACAAAGCCAGCCAGTAATTCGGTGATGGAATGATCGAGGCTGTAACTGATGATTCATTCCAAGGCACAGGAAGGAGCGGCAGTCCCCTCAGAGCATCTACAGGTGCCAAAGTGCAGACGGTGCTAATCTGTGCCATTCGTGCACAGGGTTATTACCAAGTTGGTACTGTGGTTCAAAGGGGGCTTTAGTTAAGTTCTGGAGGCTCTGGGTGGAGCTCTGCCAGGTGGCAAGACAATGAAAGGAGGCCGGGGCATCATTTCCCTGATTGAACATCCCACACAAATACCCTCCTCTGCAGGGGTGTTGTAAGGCTATCCAGGGGCCCTCAACCTTCTATAAAGTTCAATTATGCAAAAGGAAAGAAATAAAATGAGAAAATGTCCTCTTTCAATCCATGCTGGATTCTTGAGCCGTGCAAAGCGTCAGTGTGATGCAGGAAGGCAGGGTGGTCATCTCACGGGCGTCGGGGCGTCTGGTGGGCGTTGGACATCTTGGGTCTCTTCCAACAAGGCTGGAGAGTCTGGGGTGAGTCGAAGGGGCCGGTGTAGATCAGGTGTCACAGATGCCGGTGACATCCAACAGCTGTAGAGAAACAGGACAGTCTCTGGCCGGTTTACCTGTCAAGAGAAGAGAAAAACAGACACGGCAGCGACTGTGCATTGATAGATAACATTCACACACAAGGCGTATTAACTCAAAAGGGTATGCTTGGCAGGAAACTTCGCAAGGGGTTAACAGTCCTGTTCCTTGGGTTAAGTTTTTGCCAGCTGAGATTTTTAAAAGTCTTTGTCTCTGCGCACTATTTTCTTCAGAGCCATGTTGCAAATTTCAGTTCATTTGCCAAAGTCTGCCAGTGTTAAGCAGGAGGGGCACTGTGTTCCCTGGCTTCTGGCAAAGTATCAAATTCCTCAAAGTATCAATTCCTATGTTATGCTGCGGCTCCTTTTTCAGAGTAAAATTGCACCTTAAAAATGATTTTTTTTTTGGACAAAGTTCACAGAAAGCATTCACTTGCTTTTTTAAGAAAGTCACTTTCCAGGTTAGTACAGGGAGTGGGCAACCCTTGGCCTTCTGGGTTTTTTTTGTCGCTTGACTGTAAATCCAAATTGGCTCCAGGTAGTAGCAGGTCAGAGTAGCTGGCTGAATGCAGCAGTGTCCTTCTGAGATAGCTGCCAAGAGATAAGCTACTCCAAGCGCCTGGCACAAGGGGGGGAAAAGCTGATGTCCTGTTACTTGCATGAATGAATGTTAGAAACAGTTACTTCACTTGCTTCTAGCTGCAACAGTCTTTTAGCAAGAACAGAGATGAGAAGAAATCATTTTTGAGAAATCTGATTGTTCCCAGCCTGTGGGGGTGGGGTGTGTCGGGCGTGGGGCCTGTGGGCATTCCATTGCCCAATGACCCTCTTGCCTGCAGATGGCGCACTGGCTTCTTCCCTAGGCATCTTCTGCCCCTCCCGTGGACACCCTCCGGGATTACATTTTTGGCTGCTGGCTGCTTGAAGACAAACCCCTAATTATTTTGGCTGGGTCCTCTTCGAAAGAAGGATTCTGATTTAGGGGGCTTGGAGGTCTGTGGTCCTGGGCGTCGGATGACTCCAGGGGGCCGTACAGTCGGTGGGGTGGGGCCATCAAAGTGGAGTTTTAGCTGCCTCAATTGCAACTTTTAGCTGCCTCAATTGCAACATCAGTATTGTCCGCTGCCCTGAGGGCATTTATCTTGCGGATTTCCTCAATGGTCAGTATTGTAATCCTAGGGCTGTGCCCTCGGGTTTAATTGTCTATCTCTCTTTTTTTAAAACAGTTCTGTCCTATGCGGCTCTCAAAGCCTTCTGCTCTGTTTCTTTCTGTCTGTCAATTCACATCCTTGCATTGTGCTGCTCCTAGAACTCAAGAAGCCACATCCAGCTCACTCTTTTGGATTGCTTGCTGGCTCTATCTCACGTTGCTCTTTAAAATCTTCTGCTCTTTTCTTTCTGCCAATTCACATACTGAAATACTCTTTTGGACTGTCTGCTTGTCCATTTCACCTGATTCCTTCTGAGTTTCACCATTCTCAACTTCCTCTTGTCTTTCTTCCTCAGTCTCTTTGCTTTTGGGGGTTGGGTAGGGGGAACCTCATTTAGCCCTGGTGCAGTTGCTGCATAGGGTGGAGGGGGGCTAATTATTCCTCCTTCTTCTTCTGGGTCTGGCAAGACTGCTGTTTTTTTCTAACTTGTACTTGCTGCCATACTGGGCACAGTTTTGGCTTGGGCTAATCACAGTTTTGCTTTTCCTAAGCCATGGGGGAACGGTTAGGAACTTCACATAAGTGTTTGGAGTCTATTTTTCTTCAGTTTTTTAAAATCCCCAATCTTCTCCCTTTGTGGCATCTTTCCAATTCCCCCCCCCCCCAGGAAACATCGCAGGGGGGTCGTGGGAGTTGTTTTACTGCTCTTTCTCCATGACCCTGGGACCCTGGAACACTTGGGATACTGGGACACTCCCTTCTCCTAATGTCATTTCTCTCACTCAGTCACAGACCACACGTTGCTTTCAACGTCTCACACACTCAAAACATTCACTGGAGTGTCCCCACACGCACATTCAGAAAAACCCATGCACCTCCCTCAATCCCCTTTTTACCAAAACCAAAACCACAACCGGCAGCGCTTAGACTTCGACCAGGGCCCAGCAGACCCTTTACTGCTTTTTCTGGGCGACACCAAAACCAGTGGCACTTTTTCTACCCTACTGGTCGGGCTGATCAGGCCCTGTTTGTTTGCTCCCACCTACAGCCTGTGGAGCTTGCTCCCACCTATACCCTGTGGAGCCTACTTTGTTTCTCGAGGTACCTTCTTTCTGCACGGCCGTTGCTTTTTCTCCGGTCCTTGCAGTGTGTCCACTCAGGAACGGGTGGCAATTCCTCCTACGAACTTGGCAGGATGTGCACTGGAACTGCTGACATGAACCGAGCTGTTCACCGCAGGAACGCCTTGAACCCACATCCCTTATCCTCAGGGAATCTGTTTTTCCCGGCCAATCGCACCAAGAGTGCAGCCTCTTTGCCGCAATGTTGCACCTGAGAGATCCTTCCTGTTTATGGGATGTAACATCACTGAAGCAGTCAAATACAACATTTCCTGTTTGCCCAGAGTGGACACACAGGGGGATGTTGCTCCAGCCAGGAGGACTTCCTGTCACACCTGATCTGGAGCTTCCTCTCCCTGCATGTGACCAGGTAGATGGGCATGACCCTGGTAGATCCTATAAAAGAGCTGGTCACGCAGCCATCTTCCTCTTTCCCCCTTATTCCATCTTGCCTTTTGCTGTCTGCTGGCTCTCAGCCAGCAGACATGGAGCCCATCCCTCACAGAGGATGAATCCACGCTTTTCTCTGTAACTGTAACTACAAGCTAAAGCCTGCCTTCAGGACCATGCTGTGAACTGAATGTAAGTAAACCTTATCATTACTTTTAAAAGAAGACTGTTGCGTCATTCTTGTTTTTAAGAGGGAACTAAAGGGGATTTACCAGGAATAATCCAATCTGGACAAGCCAGACTGGATTGCTTAACTCAAATGGTTCTAATGAATCTATCAACCAGCTTCCTGCTATTTACAAGGGAATGTGCTCTGCTATTAGCTCACTAGCATGAGTAAGGAAGGATAATGTTTAATCAATATATCCTCTCCTACTATCCACAACATTCCCACACTGTTGAGACTTCTCAGTGACTTTGATACGGCATCCAACCCTAATTCATTGCACGGGTGGGAATAGGGATAGGCTATGTGTGGCCCTCCAGATGACTACAACTCCCATCATTCCTAATCATCAGCCATGCTGGTTGGGGCAGATGGGAGGTGGAGACCAACCATACCTGGAGCACTTTACAGCATGTTATGGTCTAATAGAAAATTATATAAAGATGATATATCGATGGTATCTAACACCGAGTAAGTTAGCAAAAATGTATAAATCAAAATCAAATAAGTGTTGGAAATATAATGAGAATGAAGGTTCTTTTTATCATATGTGGTGGTCTTGTAGTAAGGTTAAAGCTTACTGGGAAATGATATATAATGAAATGAGAAGGATGTTTAAAAAACCTTTGTAAAAAAAAACCCCAGAAAGCTTTTCTTTTGGGAATTATAGGGACAGAGCTACCTAAACTGTATAGAAACTTATTCATGTATGCTTCTACAGAGGCAAGAATGTTACTTGCCCCAAAATGGAAAGAAGTAGAACTCCCAGCAAAGGAAGAATGGATACAAAAGCTTATGGAATATTCAGAAATGGTGAAACTTACCGGAAAAATAAGAAATCAAGATAAAATATATATATATATAAAAGAATGAAAATGGTTTATTGAATATTTACAGATAAATTATAAACAGATAAAAACATTGACAGGCTTACAGTGGTACCTCAGGTTACAGACGCTTCAGGTTACAGACGCTTCAGGTTACAGACTCCACTAACCCAGAAATAGTACCTCGGTTTAAGAACTTTGATTCAGGATGAGAACAGAAATCGCGCAGCGGCAGCGCGGCAGCAGCGGGAGGCCCCATTAGCTAAAGTAGTGCTTCAGGTTAAGAACAGTTTCAGGTTAAGAACGGACCTCCGGAACGAATTAAGTACTTAACCCGAGATACCACTGTATTGTAACAACCTGCAGTTTTATATGAGTATATATTTAAAGAAGATGAATAAACTAGCAAATTAAGTTAATCTGGATATGTGGAAGATATTAAAAGCAAATTTAAGGAACCGCAGAAAGGGGGGGAATGGAAGTCACATTTTGAAATGTCAAAATGAATGTAAAATTAGTGAAATGTATGAAAGTAGTGAAATGCAAAAACTTGAAAAGTATAAATAAATACCTCTGAGTTTGCGGGCGGAGGGGGAACAACATACCTGGAGCAGCCCAGGTTTCTCATCCCTAGGTTAGAACGTCAAGTTGGCTTGACCCTGAACTGATTCCATTCATTATTGCATGGTTACAGCCACAAGATCCAGAGGACTGAAGGGAAGGGCTGGATTTATTTTTGTGGGGGGCTTTTGTAGAAGGCAAAAGCAACACACACTCCTGGTGCTATTTCTGACTTATGCAAAGCCAATGATGTTAAGTGTGAAGCCTTACCAATGGGGCTGGAGCTCATAGCTACATCTTTTCCTCCAGAGCATCTTAATGTTTGCAAGTGTCAATGTCTGGCACTGCTTACTTCCTTTACTAAAGCTCATATTTGCTTTAGGGTCCCATGGAATACAAGCACCTCTCCTCTGAAGGTAATTGTTGCAAAAGTAATTTTAATCCTCATTTCTTTCTGTCCTTATAACACATGACCTCGTATGACCGGGCATGAAGCTGCGGTTGTAATTACTGATGTAATGACTTGGTTTTTTTATTATTCACTGCAGCCGTGCCCTGTTAGATGTTTCCTCTTACATGGGCCTTTTAGCATGAATTTGTTTGATCCCTCTTTTTGAAGAGGCTCATCCATATTTCCAATTCGTTTGCCAAAGTATTTGGAAGCACAGAGATGGGTGGAAAGATTTTGATTTTCCATGCTTTAAAGCTGACAACAATATTTTGCTTGGGATGTAGTTTGTTTTGGCTACCGTAGGCTTAAACCATGCCAAGAGCTTTAGTTAGTAGTGAGGTCGTGCGGCGGTGTCTCATTTGGTCTGGAAGATGTCCAAAACATTTCAGTAATCAGGTGCTTGGAAAAGGAAACTGTTTACAAAAGGTGACATTGAGCTAAATGGTGGATAGAGCAAATTTGGATAACGAGGAGTTTTATGTAATAGAGCTTTGACGACATCTGCAAATGGCATAGCATCTCAGCTCGGAATGATCTCCGGCCGTTGCTCTTAAATTTTGGAGACATATAAACCATTAACAGTCTGCTCCTGTGTGTGCCTACTCAAACGTAATCCCATTAGGTTCAGTGGGACTTACTCCCAGGTAAGTGAGGACAGGATTGCCATCTGAATAAGTGTTCCAGTTATCTCTGCCACCTAAGCTGCTCTTTTGATTTAGGAAGTGTTCTGTGTTTTAATAATAGTACAAACGAGGAGGTTTAGAGATATTTGTGAGGGTATCTGCCATTGTTAAAGATGGACTTTCCGATTAACTGAGTAAGTTTTGATCTTTGGACTGCATCCTTGGTTCTTCCATAGATGTCGAACTCATGTTTTGTTTTGCTTTATTAGCTTTTAAAGATAAATAGCTCCTTTGAAACAGGATTGCATTCTCTCTCTCTCTCTCTCTCTCTCTCTCTCTGTTTATTCAGCATCCTAAAAAGTGACCTCATCTAATGACTTTGCCCCAGATATGATTGAAGTTTGTCAGACACTGATGAAGTGGCAAAATAACTTGTTTAAAAATGCCACTCCCGGGACATTAGTAACCTTGGGGGGAAATGCTCATTTGTGTGTCCTGTAGGTCCTATGTTCCAGGAGAACCCAGCCTGGGGTGGGACAATATGTGGTCTCCAAGAAGCTGATTAAATGGGAATGGGCAAGAAGCTCTGAAGACTTTGGAGAGGAATAGCTTGTTTCTTTTGATTTCCATTTGGCCATAACTTGAAGTGAAGGGCAGGGATTTGTATGCTACTCCCATCATAGCTCTGCGACTTCAGGTGTTTGCTGTTGTTGCTGTTTATCAGCCTATCAGTGCATATGGTACTGTAAAAATGGCATCTGCAGCAGTTGAGTTTTTGAAGAGTTTGCAGTCAAAAATTTGTCCATTAGATCAGACACAGCAGACACTTCTCTCTCCAGTTCTTGTCTGGCTGATAACAGATACTTTATCAGTTCTCACTGCTAGTTGAAATCTTCCTGGAACATGCTCAACCCTTTGATCGGACCGCAAACTACAGAACATCATCTGCTTCACTGCTGCTCAGGGTCCTATTTGGAATTGCATGAATCGTTATTAAACAACAAAGATTGTGGCATCCTGGAAGACATAGCTTCAGTGCCATTTCTTAAATACCTCTAATGTCCAAAATATTTAGTTTATCCAGAATTTACTCTGCTAGAGCTTCAGCTAAGAAGGGACAGTGGAAGAAGACCACTGAGATGCTTGAGATGCAACAAGCTTCAAAAATTAATAATAAATTGACTTGTGTGTTTCTTTAAATCTTTGATGTTCTCGTCAGTCGAAGCACTGAGCAGGAAAAAGAAAGCAAACTGCCTCACTGTTGATGTCAGACTTGACACCAACACACACACACACACACACAAACACATTTCAGTCTCAGATGAGTTGTTGACACCGCAATTGAGACATTCAAGGGAACCAGAGAACGGTGACTGCTTTCGTCAACGGCTCATTTTGACTCACCTTCCAAATATGCAGAAACAGCTCCGCCGTAATCTGCCTCAGTATGACGTAGTTCACTTCTGTGTTAATGGCTTTATCACATATTTATACACTTTATTTTTATTTAGCTGCTGTACGCTCCTAAGAGAGTTCTTAATAATAATACTGTATATGGTAGTGTAATGCAGTATAGAGTTGTTGGAGAGGTTTGACTATTTGCCACTGTACAATGTATTTGTTTGTTTTTTAAGAAGTGTGAAATCCAAAGCATAATTATAGTCCTTTCTATGTAACCACCTGGGAGGTGTGAATTAGGTTGGTGCATTTTAAACCACATTCTCCTTCAATCTACAGTGGTACCTCGGTTTAAGAACAGTCCGGTTTAAAAATGATTTGGTTTACAAACTCCACAAAACCGGAAGTAGTGTCCCAGTTTGCGAACTTTACCTCAGTCTAAGAACAGAATCCAAACGGTGGAAGGGCACTGGCGGCAGGAGGCCTCATTAGGTAAAGAGCGCCTCAGTTTAAGAATGGTTTCGGTTTAAGAACGGACTTCCAGAACGGATTAAGTTCGTAAACTGAAGTACCACTGTAGTTAAGTGTCCCGTGTGTTCGTGTCATGGGTCAGGAGTCAGATTCACCTGCTGAGCAGCAGCGTGAAGGAGCAGAAGGCGAAGTGACTCCACCTGCTGCTGATCAGCCTTCTTGCTCCTGGTGTGAACCAACTGGTTCCAGCTTTCTTTTGAAATCCTTTTTATTTGATTTTACAAATGCAAATTAATTACAATGCCAAATGCATAACCATAAAAGGCAATTTCTCTGAATCTCGCGACTTCCCCCACCCCCTCCCTGGGTCCTGTTTTCAACATTTCCAACTGCATATCATTTCATAGTCCATATTTTAAATCTGTCCATATTGTCCATAGTACCTGTTACATTACAAGAATTATTAAAATCCTGCTAATGTTTTCATCTGCTTATAGTGGTCTCCTAAATAAATTGTAAATTTCCCCATTCTTTTTTCTTTTCTTTCTTTCTTTCTTTTTTTTTTTTTTGGTCTTCTTGGTTCTTGAGCTTTCCAGTCAGTTTTGCATAGTCCCACAGCTTGGTTTGCCATTCCACTCTGGCAGGGACTCTTTCTTCTTTCCATTTCTGGGCTAATAGCATCCATGCTGCTGTTGTCGCACACATAAAGTCTTTTCAGCTCCTTTGGAATTTCAGTACCTATAATTCCTAATAAAAAAGCTTTTGGTTTTTTAACAAAAAATATTTTAAACTTATTTTACTTTTTTAAATTAATTTTTTTATTGAGTTTTGTGCAAATACAAACAAGACTCAACATAAATCTACAGAAAACAAAGCAAAAAGCAAAAAACAAAAACAGCAAGGGAAAAAAGGAAAAACAAAACCATGAACAAAAATGAAGTGAAATTAACTATGCAATACTATCCCAAAACATCAATTCTCAAACAAAATATTTCCCCTTTTGGAATAGATCTCTTTACTTATTCTATTTATTTTCGACTTCCATTTACCTCACCACAATTCATTCTATCTGATACGGTTTTTCCTGTATTTCAATTCATGTCCTCATCTTGGTATAAGGAAACATTTTTTCTATTTACGGATTTATTCTAGGCACAACCAAATTTTGCTTGTTGAACCTTGTCTCATTAGATAAGTGTTAAAGCAAAAGTAATTTTAAACATTTTTTTATTTCATTATATATCATCTCCCAGAAAGCTCTTATTTCCTTACACGACCACCACATATGATAAAAGGTACCTTCTTTCTCTTTACATTTCCAGCAGGTATTTGTACTTGTTCTATACACTTTTGCTAACTTAAAGGTAAAGGTAAAGGGACCCCTGACCATTAGGTCCAGTAGTGACCGACTCTGGGGTTGCGGCGCTCATCTCACTTTATGGGCCGAGGGAGCCGGCGTACAGCTTCTGGCGAACCAGAGCATCGCATGGAAATGCCGTTTACCTTCCTGCTGGAGCGGTACCTATTTATCTACTTGCACTTTGACATGCTTTCGAACTGCTAGGTTGGCAGGAGCAGGGACAGAGCAACGGGAGCTCACCCCATCGCGGGGATTCGAACCACCGACCTTCTGATCGGCAAGCCCTAGGCTCTGTGGTTTAACCCACAGCGCCACCCGTGTCCCTCTAACTTACTAGGAGTCAACTTACTAGGAGTTAACTTACTAGGAGTCAAATACCACCGGTACATCATTTTCATATAATTTTCCTTCAGTGTACAACATGCCGTAAATGGCTCTAGCTTTCTTAAGTCACCCTGGAGCTGACTGAACTGCTGGCTTTAGCTCCCTTTTGTATCTCTGGAGCAGACCGGAACAAAGCCTGCTCCAACATGGTTTGCTCCTGTTGTCCCGCCCGCCAGGCGCCATGGATAGGCTGGAATTTGAATCGTGTTTGGCAGGAACCCGTGAGGCACCGCAGTGGCCAGGAGAGCAGAGCAACAGCCGGAAGAACTGCGTGGCCTCAAGAGGACGGAGAAGCCGCGTGCCATGCCCCAAATGTAGCCCACCAGTGGACCTGGTGAGCAGCCATTCTTAATCAGGGTTTTCAGCCTCCATCAGTTGCTAGGAACAATAAAGATATCGTAATCGTAATCGAACAACATTTGGCGTTCCTGGCCAGACCTCGCTGCTTCTTGCTTCTCGTGGCCTTGAACCCTTGGCTTTCCTGACCCCTGGATCATCTGACTATGTGAACTGAGATACTCCTGACCTTAGGACTGGACCTTGCATACGGACTCTGCCTCCAGGCAAGAACCCCCCTGAGACTCGACTGGTTGGCTGGCTTCTCCCTCCACTGAGCTCTGCCATGGCTGGCAGCACAGGACTACGACAGTTAGGGAACCTGGAGACAATATGTTGCTCATCAAATTGCTAAAGGCACTTTCCCCTGTCTTCTTGCTCTGTCTTGTAGGTGGTGGTGATGTAATCTAGGTGTCTTTATGCGTGTCACAAAGAAGAACAGACTGAGTGAGGCAGAGATACACACAGACCCAGTGACCTCATTGAAAGAAAGAGGAAGAAGAGGAGGAAGAAGAAGAAGAAGAAGAAGAAGAAGAAGAAGAAGAAGAAGAAGAATTATTTATTATTTATACCCCATCCATCTGGTTGGGTTTCTCTAGCCACTCTGGGAAGCTCCCAACAGAATATTAAAAACATAATAAAATATCAAACATAAAAAACTTCCCTAAACAGGGTTGCCTTCAGATGTCTTCTAAAGTCAGATAGTTTATTTCCTTGACATCTGATGGGAGGGTGTTCCACAGGGCGGGCGCCACCACCAAGAAGGCCCTCTGCCTGGTTCCCTGTAACCTCACTTCTCACAGTGAGGGAAACGCCAGGAGGCCCTCAGAGCTGGACTTCAGTGAATGAAGGGTGTGGAGAGGCTCCTTCAGGAACCTGGGTACAAACTATACCACTGGAGTTCTCACCGCTTGGAGAATCGGGGCATGCATAATGTAATTTATAAAGCCACTGTACTGTGCCCCCAAACCCTGGTTTAGCATTGGCTTGGTTCACATGTCACACTAAGGCAAAATTTGGCCTAGCGTGAGTACACAGGCTCCCAGGGAGGAGACTGCAGCTATTTTCTCCTACCCAGCCATTCTGCTGCTGCACAAAGCTAAGCTAAGCCATGCCATCTGAATGCGGGGTTGTGGTTTAGTTCTCTCGAGATTAACAAGCTATAGCCAAGGTTTGTTCTTGGTTTACTGCTTGCATCAGAAGAGCTAAACCATGTGCCGTGGTTCGGACAACATGCTCAGCCAAGTCATCGAATCAAAGAATTGTTGAGTTGGAAGGGATCCCAAGGGGCATTTCGTCCAACCCCCTGCAATGCAAGATTCTCAGCTGAAGTATCCATGACAGATGTCCATCCAACCTCTGCTTAAAAACCTCCAAGGAAGGAGAGTCCACAACCTCCCGAGGGAGACTGTTCCAAGTCATGAATTAGCTCAGGGCAGTAAGCCTGCGGTTTATGTGCATTTAACTAACTCTCTCTCTCTCTCTCTCTCTCTCTCTCTCTCATCTTTACATCTTTAAAAAGTACATAATTTTAGATGCACTAAACATGGTGAGACGTAAATAAAAGAAAGAGAAACAGAAACAGAACCGTGTAGAAGGGAAAATTAAGGGGGGGGGACACCCAAAACTGTATATTTTGCAAGGTTGTTGTTGTACTTCACCAGATCTTAACCTATTACAGAATTTGTAAGAATGGATTCCAAATATCATTGAATTTGTCCATGGCAAGCCTGCGTTTATATGCAAGTTGTTCATATGTTTCGAGTTTGTATAAGTCTTCAATCCAATTGTAGAAGGGATTTTTATTTTTATAAAATAAAATTTTTATTTTCCCAATTCATCAGTATCAGTCTTTTTGCTGTGGAAGGGGCACAGAGAGTCCACACATATTGTCCTTTTGTAAGGTACCATGTGCTGGGTATATAATTCAACAGGATATTTTGCTCTGTAAATGTAAGGTTGTTCCGTACAGTTCTGTTGATAGTTTCAGTTACATTCTGCCAAAAATCTTTCAATACAGGACAATGAAAAAAACATTCTTAGAGAAGCATTATCCCTGTTGCATCTCCAACAGTTTCAAACAAACGTAATGGGGACCAGTATATTCTAAATGTTATTTTTCGTTGTATGTGCATTTAACTTGTGTGCAGTTAGCTTTATGCACATCACAAAAATAAAGAAAGAAAGGGGTTGTAAAGGGAACAGCCATCTGGTGAAGAAGACTTTGGCAATTCCACCCACCATTGAACCCAATGGTTGTTTTTATTTTGCTACACTTGATTTTAGCTTTAGGCACAATCCCCAGAACATAACGCATGTGTATGTTGCAGGGTTACTGTACAACAGCAAAGAAGGGGAGCAAAGCAACCACAGCCTGCTCTCTGGGAGCCCACACCTTTGCATGTTCGTTGTAAGCCATGGTTTGGCTTCGCATGTGGTGTGAACCAAGCCGTTGTGCGTTGCGATGATCCACAGAAAAAGCAGTCGGGATTCCCTAACGTTAGCACTTATGTGCTGGTAAAGAGGAACTGGGGGTGTGTTGGGAACTTGCTTTGGAAGAAAGAGACAAATGTTTTAAGACAATAAATAAATTGATGATTATGATGCGTCCAATGTTATAGCTAATATTGTGGTACATGCTATCCTATACATTTCATGCTGCCATGGTGAGCCTTAGGATCAGACCGTTATTTAATATGCATTTGTTGAGTGAATTTAAAAATCACTATATCGCTACTGGAAATGCTGTGTATGTCATATGTATTTGCTTAGCATAAGACACCCTGCCAGGAATGTTAAATAGGCTGTTGTGTTTACAACTCTCTGAGATGGAAGGAGATCAAAAACTGAAAATAGCTGCAAGTTGTACAGTATTTGAAGAAGCTTAATGTACTTTCTGCCTATTTTGAATCAAGATCAGTATGAACAGCAAAGGAATGGAAATCTGAACAGTGTGGCTTTCATAATTTTTTTGTTCGCCGTTGAAGTCAGGCCAGGAACAGACCAAAATATAGTTGCTAGGGATGGGCGCGTTTTCGCTGAAATGGGTCAAAAGGGTGCAATCCTAATTTCCTCTGATTTCCCTGTAAAAAGACACCATTTCTGCCTCTTATGTTTATTTTCTCTTGGGAAACTTTTGTTTGGCTTACAAAAATACTGTGCAGAGCTCTCTCTCTTAAGAAGTGGAAGCCAAAATACCTGGGATGCTCAGTGTTCTGTACTTGTGTTTTGCACGTTTAGCTTAGCTTTACGGTGCAATGACGTCTTACAAATGAACATGTTGCATTTCGTGGAATGAAGGGCTCCTAATCAGAAACTGTTTAGGACGAGGCCGATGAGTACTTTACATGAACGTATAGCTGTGGTGAAGTCTGGGGAAGTTTACATGTGTCAGCTGTGTTCATAGATTTGGCTGAATGTATGGAAGTTTAGGAATGGGGCCAGCTCCCCTTTGCATACATATATTCATGGAGCTCTCTCTCTCTCTCTCTCTCTCTCTCTCTCTCTCTCTCTGTGTGTGTGTGTGTGTGTGTGTGTGTAAATAGCCTGTCATGAGCCCTTTTCAGGAGTTAACTTGTACAAAACAAATACCGTATTTTTTGCAGCATAACACTCACTTTTTCCCTCCTAGAAAGTAAGGGGAAATGTCTGTGCGTGTTATGGAGCGAATGCCTACGGGTGGCGGGGGTGATCTGCTGCAGTTGTGAGCAGAGGATCCATGGTTCCCCTTCCTTCCCTCCTCCATGGCTCGCTTTGAAACAGCAAAGCGGGAGAAGAGCCGCTGAGTGGGGAGGAGAGAGGGACAGAGAGCCTGCTTCTTTAAAGGAGCAAAGCGGGAGAGGAGAGGAGTCCAGTTGGCTCCTTTAATGCAAGCAGGCTCTCTGTCCCTCTCTCCTCCCCACTCAGCTCGCTAAATAGCATTATTAGCAGCATCCTTCTCCACACACTCCATGCGTGCTCCTTGTCCCTTGAGTGCTTTTCCTTCCCTCCCCACTTAAAACGTAGTTACAAAGCACGGATCCACATGGATCCTCAGGATTTTTGCACTGGGTCACCCCAAATTCACCATCAGATCACATAGCATGTCCATGGCTACATCTTGCACCAAAATCACGCACCCACTGTTGCCTGGGGTCGCAGTGGTGCAAAAACGTGGTTACAAAGCATGGATCCACATGGATCCTCAGGATTTTTGCATTGGGCTACTCCAAACTCACCGTCAGATCACATGTCTGTGGCCACAGCATGAACCACAAAAATCATACATCCACTGTTTCATTTAGAATATTTTTTTTCTTGTTTTCCTCCTCTAAAAACTACGTGCGTGTTATGGTCTGGTGCGTGTTATAGAGCGAAAAATACGGTATATGGGGAAAGGCTCAACTCCCCGCCCCTGGAATTTCTGTAGGAAAACTATAGGTAGGGAGGCTCCCCTTAGATGTTTGATACTGAACGCACACAGATTTGGGGTGGAACCTGCCTCCTGTATGCATATTTGTTATATAATATTTTCAAAAATAATTGTTAATTGTACCCTGTCCACCTTGCTGGGTTTCCCCAGCCATTCTGGGCGGCTCACAACAGAATATTAAAAACACAATAAAACATCAAACATTAAAAGCTTCCCTAAGCAGGGCTGTCTTCAGATATCTTCTAAAAGTCAGATAGTTGTTTATTTCCTTGATATCTAGTGGGAGGGCGTTCCACAGGGCGGGTGCCACTACCGAGAAGGCCCTCTGCCTGGTTCCCTGTAACCTCACTTCTTGCAGTGAGGGAACCACCAGAAGGCCCTCGGAGCTGGACCTCAGGGTCCAGGCAGAATGATGGGGGTGGAGACGCTCCTTCAGGTATACAGTGGTATCTCGGGTTAAGAACTTAATTCATTCTGGAGGTCTGCTCTTAACCTGAAACTGTTCTTAACCTGAAGCACCATTTTAGCTAATGGGGCCTCCTGCTGCCGCTGCGCCACTGCTGCACGATTTCTGTTCTCATCCTGAAGCAAAGTTCTTAACCTGAGTAATATTTCTGGGTTAGCGGAGTCTCTAACCTGAAGCAAATGTAACCTGAGGTACCACTGTACTGGAATGTCTTTAGGAAAGCATGTCCAAAATCCATTTCAGGGGCCTAATCCGGTCCGCCGGTCGGTTTAATCCTAAAAAAACCTCAACAGCTTCAATCCTAAAAAAACCTCAACAACCTCAACCCTAAAAAAAGCTCAAAAACTTCAATCCTAATTCAATCCTAAAAAAGGATCAACAACTTTGGTTGGCCCTTTGGTCAGCCCTCACAGCCCTTCACTTCATCAAATCTGGCCCTCTTTGAAAGAACTTTGGACACCGCTGCCTTAGATGCTTGAATGCGCAGAGATTTGGGGCGAAACTTGCCTCCTGCATGCACATTCATTCTACAGAAATAAATAGCCTATGTCTGAAAAGGGCTATAGTCTGGGCCTACAGAATTTGCTTGACTACAACACCCATCAATCCTGACCATTGACCATGCTGACTAGGGCTGCTGGGAATTGAAGTACAGCCACCTTTGGAGGTTCTCTACCTGTGGTCTATAAGAATGGAGATTTTAATCATCCCTAAGGCATCTTAATATGGGTTTTGGAGGATAGGGGTTCAGTCCATCCGTTCCCCACAATCTGCACAGAAGCAGTGGCCTCTGCTAATCTCTTAATAATGGCAGATAAGAGTATTTGTGAGTTGGGGCAATCCTGTATCTTGGATGGAGGGGAGGTTGTAGTCTCTGCCTGCCCCTCCAAACGCTGGGGTATCCCGTTAAAGGGATCTGGGAGGAGTGGCCATGTTTGCGTGCCCAAGCGGGGCCAGGGCCAAAGACACTCCCCCAGACAGCGGTCCCTGCGGGGGTCGCCCTATTTGATGTAAGTCTTAGGAACCCCTGCCTGGATTGACCACACGTCACTTTGGGCGGGCAGGTCAGAAGGATCTAGATTGCCTCATGCCCAAGCCAAACCTCTTTCATCTGTATTCAATAAAGTTGTGGCCTGTTTTGACCCTAAACCAGTCTTATTGGTCTCTTATTTATATGGGTTGAGGTATGGGAATCCCAATGCCTGGTTCTGCAACACCCATCAATCATGACTATTGACCATTGTTGACTAGGACTGCTGGGAATGGAAGTACGTCAAAACAAATTCAATACCTTGCTACGCAAATACAGTTATCACTATACACAAAGTGCAACAGGCTGGATAATAATAACTGTAAACATTTTATTGGTTATTTCCTAATGTAAAAGTCTAGCCCAGTATGTGCAACATATACAGTTCATATGTACAGTATATAACCTATGACACTAATTACAATATTAATACACTTCTTATCTTATTTTTTCTTATTGTAAGTTCCTGTATAACACAGTCCTTAGGTGGAAACAGAAAAGTCCTCAAGGTAACAAGAAAACACAGCTGATGTAGACTGCTGGCACAAGCTGGCTGGTGCAAGTGCAAACTGCTAACTTGGGCAGAACAAGGTTTCCGGATATCTCCCTTGTTCCACCCCGAAGGGCTTCCTCAGCTGATATTAAATCTATACAATATAAATAAACGCATGGTAATACAATATTTGGTATCCAAGGTATAATAATAGTGAATATTACTAAAAATATAGTACTGAAAAATATAGTACACAAATGTTATTAAAAAATCCAGAAGCCATACATACCGTCAGTGTGTATAACAGGTACGTAAGTAATTGTACATGAATGAGCTCTTAATCATCCCTAAGACATCTTAATAAAGTGGTACCTCAGGTTAAGTACTTAATTCGTTCCGGAGGTCCGTTCTTAAATGGAAACTGTTCTTAACCTGAAGCACCACTTTAGCTAATGGGGCCTCCCGCTGCTGCTGCGCCGCCGGAGCACAATTTCTGTTCTCATCCTGAAGCAAAGTTCTTAACCCGAGGTACTATTTCTGTTGTTAGCGGAGTCCGTAACCTGAAGCATATGTAACCTGAGGTACCACTGTATGGGCTTTGGGGAACAGGGGTTCAATCTGTCGGTTCCCCGCAATCTACACAGAAACAGTGGCCTGTGCTAATCTCTTAATAATGGCAGACAAGGGTACTTGTGGGTCATCGGTGCGGATGGCACAATTCATAAAATGAAAGGATGCCCTGAACCTGGCCTTGTGGCACTTTTGGCTTCCGAAATTTGCTTCCCATTAAAATGCTGAATCAAGAGCACTGGATGGTAAGTTGTGCGTTCCTTGTTTCTGTGCATGTTCAGGGAAGTGCTGGGAGGGGGCACCGAATCTGGGACTAGGTGCAGAACCCAACATCAACATATGGAACTGGCAGTAGTGGTATAAGGGGGGGAAATTATGAGAGGTGGCACAGAAGGGGCATTAGATATTTCTAGGTGGGGGAGAAAGAAAAATAACAGCACCTATTAATGACAGGAGTTCAGAAATGGACAGGGCAAGTGGGGGAAGCTCCTTATGTGTGGGGGCATGTGTTTGTGCCCCTGCCTGCCCCCCAGCACCATCTATGGGAACTAAATGCAGCATCTCTGTTTCCATGTTGTCTGTGCTAGCCTATGGGAAGACAAGTCCAGTGTTTATGCTGAAAATAGAACTCTTCTGTCTTCTTCTGATAAGAAAGGCTTAACATAAAAGTCAGTGGTGAAGTTTGCAACTGAATAGTTTCATTCCTCTGTACAATGCCACAAGGCACAAACCGTAATCTTATGCAATAAGAAAGGATAATAATAATCCTTTCTCTGGTTTACCTTTGAAGGCCGATGTCCTCAACAGGAATAGTTAGTTCATGGGATCATCGCTAAAGCTCTGGTGTTTCTCGTTGAAATATAATTTGTAAAGTGGCAGAAGCTAATTGTTCTCTGAATTTGGCCTTGGTTGTGGAATTTTACAAAGGAGGTTTTATGGGACTCTGAGCTATTGCAACCCCCCGCCCTGTGCTTTGTGCATTATTTCCTTGTAAAATGTTCAATTCCTTTGGAAAATTCCTGGCCCCATTACTAGGACTTTAGAAGATGGTTTACCCCTGCAAAATGGAGATTGAAATGTGTAGTATTGTAGGATGTACAGTTTCAAAAACACCCCCTTTGTATTGTCATTGGGTTTTCCAGAAACCGCTGTAACCTCTGGTGACCTTACCCCCCCAAAAAATTTCCATTACAAAGAATAATACATGAGCCATCTTTTATCAGTCCTCTTTGAGTCTGCGGTGATGGAAATAGCAGAACATATTAACATGCTGAAAAAGGCAGACAGATATCGTTGACAAGAGATATAAGATCCTTATACGTTGGGCAGAAATGTAGTATTCAGATTTCTCTGCTGGTATCTCACAGAGACATCAACTATCAGGCTTTGTGCTGCTGGGCAGAGACTCCTTCAACATATTATTAGTCAATTTAGCATTTCAGCAAGCTCTGAAGTGTCTGAAATAGTTGAGGGATTGGGGCTACGACAGAAATAGATAAGACCTTTGGATAAAACAGCTTAGCTGTGTTTAAGAAAATCTCCATAGGGTTTAAGAAAATGTTGATGTCATAGAATCGGTAGTTCTACCAACATTCTTCTGGAGTAACATCTATGGTAAAACTATAACCACATCCCAGTTACAACCGCTTCCTGACCTCCTCTACTACAAACCGAGGCAAATCCCTCTTGAATAATGGTGTGAATTGAGCCAGTTAAAACAGTGCAGTAGATAGAAGCAACAAAATGGGATCTGGAATATTTTGTAGTCTTATCTCTCTGTATGCAACTGAGCTACAGTAAGTCTGGAGCCTCTGGCACATCAGGCAAGGATTTAGCTTGTGAGTCATCCATGAGAATTTTCTCAAGGAGGGGATTACCGGACAACCTACTACAAGACTTGCAAGAAAGAGCTTGAGTTGCAATAGACCAGAGCAAATCATGTGAGAAGGCAGGGCAAGGGGGAGAAATTCACTTTGGTTGGAATTTTTAAATTCAAACTTTTCCAGTTTGCACTTTCTAAAACAATATGTGAACAGGAAGACAACTGATGCTTCCCTGTTATTGAGTTGGTTGACAAATGGAGAACTGGTGACTTCTTCAAGTCTGTCCCATCAACTCCCATCAACAGTGAGAACTGTTGAGTCTGTCCTTTGCTGAATAATCTGAGGTTGTAAATCTCTTGAGCCAGTTAGTGTCCAGGATAAGTAAAATCATTTGTTATTGATTATGAAGATGATGTATAGATGGTACTCGACTCCTGTAAAACTAGCAAAGATTTATCACAATAGTGATAACCTTTGTTGGAAATGTAAAGAAAAAGAAGGTACTTTTTTCCATATGTGGTGGACTTGTCCCAAGGTGAAAGACTTCTGGGAGATTTATAATGAACTGAAAAAAATGTTGAAATATACATCTATTAAGAAACCAGAGGCCTTTCTTCTTGGAATAACAGGTTTAGAATTGCCCAAGAAAGATGTTAAATTATTTTTGTATGCCACAATGGCCACCCGAATATTACTTGCTAAAAATTGGAAAACACAAGAACTACCAACAGTGGAAGATTGGCAGATGAAGATGATGGACTTTTCGGAGCTAGCTGACCTGACTGGAAGAATCCGCAACCAGAAAGAAGAGGAGTTTCAAGAGGACTGGAGGAAATTTCAAGGACTATTTGAATAAATATTGTAATATAAAAAATCAGAAATTGCTTGAAAGAAACAAATAGGCCTAAGATTAAATTAAGTTATAATTAAATAAATGGGATTTAGAATGTTAAGAAAAGTGAATAAGATGGACTATAATTGGAAATTGTTTTAGTTTAATAATGATATTGGAAAGCTGTTACTTTTAATTACAAGGAAACTCAGAAGGGAGGGATTTGAGGAAGTCAACCAAGATGTTTAAAAAGTTGGATTTGTGAAGAATTAAGTTTGTTGTTATTGTTTATCTGTTTATTGTTCCCCCTTTCCCCCTTTTTCTTTTTCTTTTCTTTCTTCTTTCTTCTTTTTCTTTTTCTGTTTCTGTGTATCATTTTGCTTTGTGGTTTGTGTTATCACTGTGGAAAATCTAATAAAAAATTATTAAAAAATTAAAAAAATAAAATCATTTGTTATTGTGATGATCTTCTTCTTTGGCGATCACTCGTAGCCTAGTAAGATTGTCTTCCATGAACACTGGCGAACTAATGCTATACAAATTGAACCATGGAAGAAGAAGGGAAGTCATTGACGTTTAAGGTTGTTGAGTGAATATTTTAAATTGTAAATTAGAAAACTTAATTAAAAAATGATACACAAAAGAAAAAAGAGAAGCTGACCAACTGCAGGAGGTGTGGCGGACTTTTCCAGTTAGCCCATATTGACATCCTTTGTATTCCTCATCATTAATCAGCTAATGCAAATGATCAGTCTCTGCTCAACAGGTATGTTAAGCTGGAAACACTAGGAGCGTGTCCTACTGACAGGTGGTTTGTCCCAGAGTCTCTAGTACACTGTGTACTGACTAAAAACAGCTTATACAGAGAGAGAGAAATGTCTAGACTAGCCTCAGAGTACAGTGGCCTCAGCATTTCTTTCATCCTTCCTGGTCAGAGACCTAAACATTGCAAAACAGCCTGGGTATTTAGACTGCGATCCCGAGTGCATGAACTTGAAAATAAGTTTCACTGAAATCTATAGGTCTTCTGGGCAAATATGTCTGGGGTAAGGGCGACTTCTTTCCCCACATCTTCTTCCTACACAATATTGTTGAAAATGTAATCTTTGGTTTCCGCCTCACTAGAGATTGCTGCAGGAAGCTTTTCTTGCTATTCTTAGGTTTTGCAAAGCTGAACTACCCATGTAGACATGCTTCTTAACTCCTAGTCTAAAGCCACATTTATTTCTTTCTCTCTTTCCTTCTTTCCTTCCTTCCTTCCTTTTTGACATCTTTATTGAAAGTTCAAAAAGTACATAATTATATCTGCACTAAACATCATGAGACATAAATAAGAGAGAGAGAGAGAGAGAGAGAGCGCACGCACCAGTGTAGCAGGGAAAATAAAGAGGGGAGGAAACCCAAAACGGTATACTTTAAAAAGTTGTTAGTGTACTTCACCAGATCTTAACCTACTACAGTATGTGTAAGAATGGATTCCAAATGTCACTGAATTTGTCCATGGCAAGTCTGTGTTTATATGCAAGTTGTTCATATGTGTAAGTGGTCGATCCAATCATAGAAGGGAGCCACATTTTTATTTTTCCATTTCATCAGTATCAGTCTTTTTGCTGTGGTCAGGGCATGGAGAGTCCACTCGTATTGTTCTTTTGTAAGGTTCCATGTACTGGGTATATAATTCAAGAGGATATTTTGCTCTGTAAATGTAAGGTTGTTCCTTTCAGTTTTGTTGATGGTTTCAGTTACCTTCTGCCAAAAATCTTTATCTCTTGCCACATTTCTTTATCTCTAGCACACATTCCTCAACAACTCGTCTGTGCCCTTTCCAGGTACACAAAGATGTGTGTGGTACATCTAGGATTACAGCCTGAGCCAAAAAAGAACAGTTTGGTCTTGGAAAAGACACAACAAACATGCAGCAGAAAGAAAGCAGCAACAGCATTCTTGCCATGATAATGGTCTCAAAGTGTACCTTCTGAAAGATACATAATACTTTCCCTTGGGAATTCCAGACTTGGTCTCCATCACAGCAAAGCACAATTCACAGTTATTTGCATTTTTCAGCAGTACAATTGTCAAATGCCCATTAGTTTAAGAGGAGGAGCTCATAATTCATAATTCTCAAAGAATGCAATGCCTGGACTTTGTTTCTAAATAACATAAATTTATTTCTAAATAAGCTCCCGCTGAAGATGGGAAGTCACTTTTTCATGCTGCATGAAAAACAACACAAAGTTCTGCAGCATCTTAATGGTAGCACATTTGTTGTGGTGTCTACACCTTTGCAAAGGATCCATCATCAATCTCTCACTGACTGTGGCAACAAATGGTTTGAGTGAATCTGGACTGAAATCATGGTGGTTGCATAAATTCACCTTAAGTGCACATTGTCCTATTTCTTTGATGGATTCCTCGTTTGTTTGGCAGATCAGCTCACAGGAATGAAGGCGGTACAACAAAATACAGGCAGTATCTGCAAATCTGAGGTGGTGTTGAGTTTTAGCAGTGTGTGTGTAACATCTGTTCATTTACAATTTAAAAACTGGAGGTTGAGGGAACACGTGAACCTCATAAACAGGATGGCCATGTATCCTACTTTACAGAGGACAGTTTGAAGGGCTTTCCTATATTTGGGGGGATCCTATGGGTTAAACCACAGAGCCTAGGACTCGCCGATCAGAAGGTCGCGGTCGAATCCCTGCAATGGAGTGAGCTCCTGTTGCTTGGTCTCTGCTCCTGCCAACTTAGCAGTTCGAAAGCACGTCAAAGTGCAAGTAGATAAATAGGTACCTCTCTGGCGGGAAGGTAAACGGCGTTTCTGTGCGGTGCTCTGGTTCGCTAGAAGTGGCTTAGTCATGCTGGCCACATGACCCGGAAGCTGTACGCTGGCTCCCTCAGCCAATAAAGTGAGATGAGCGCCGCAACGCCAGAGTCGGCCATGACTGGACCTAATGTTCAGGGGTCCCTTTACCTGTACCTTTATATTTGAAAGGCTGTCGGGACCAAGTCCAGTTTTTGGAAAACAACCCAGGAAGGTGCAGGTCACATTTTAGCTGAAAACTCCAAAGTGCTGCCAAAGACCTGCAAATTGCCCCCTGCAACATTGGGTGGTGCAAACGCTGCATTACCAGGTAGGCCAAAAAAAGAGCCCAGGGCACCCTAACCCGCAGGTGTTGCAGTCCTTTGCTGCCAGCCAACAAGCCAAATCTCAGGGGTGTACTTGCCTGGAGGTAGAGTCTGTATAAAAGGTCCAGTCCAGTCCTAAGTTCAGGAGTATCTCAGTTTATGTACCGTATTTTTCACTCTATAAGACACACTTTCAAGTTATCATGAGCAAGCAATTCTTATCAAGCTGAGAGAGAGACATTTTGCTTAGTCAAAAAGTGTGTTTAGGAGCCAAAACACTATTATTCAGAAAGGTAATGTTATCTAGAGCTTATTTAGAAATAAAGCCCAGGCATCCATGAGCATTATGAATTATTATTATTTTTAAAAATAATTTATTTAAAATGCATTTATTTTAAAAATTTATTTATTTATTTATTTGCATTTTTCAAATTAAAATTTTACAATAACATATCAACGTACAATATAGAAACAAGATTCCACAGAATCTCCTGGACTTCCCTCCTCCCCTTTGTGGGTCCTATTGTTAGTTCTTTCCTCTTGTATCTTTTATAATAATCCAAATCTTTTGCATCTCCATTATGCCCAAAATTCACCATTAAACTGCAAGTGTTAATCCAATCCCACTAATGAGCATTATGAATTAATGGTGAACAGCCATGAGGGTCCGTAGATAATAGTGCATAAACAACGACCCAAAATATGAAAATAGTACTATACTGTTCTCTTTCTCTCTCTCCCTCTCTCTCATATCATAAAACAAAAAGATGTAAATATATCAGAAGATGGTGCATTGATTAAATGCCCATTTAACTCTTGGTCTTTTTCAATCCCATCTACTTAATCTAGCGTGTCACTGTTAGTAGACCCTCAGCCTAAACTGTTTAATTTGGAAGGCCTTCAAACCAGGGACTTTTCAACCATCTTGAAATCCTTTTGAGTGAGCTCTGCTTATTTGCATCATTTAAGAACTAGGGCAGTCTGGAATGAAATGGAGAGACAGTCAACAGACTCGCCCAGGTGAAGCTTTCACAACACTGCTTTTAATCAAAGCCTAATTGCTGCTCATTAAGTGAATCCAGAAGCATTGGCTGATGTAAGACGCTAGCAGACTTGAGAACTGAAACCTTCTGAGATCACAGCAGATCCAGAACGAGAAGGACATGGGCATATTTCCCTGTGTATCTCAGAGCCATACTTGACACGGGCCCCCCAGATGTTGTTGGATTACAACTCCCATGACCATTGACTGTGGTGATAGGGCTGCCATACGTCCAGGAATTCCTGGACATGTCCTCTTTGGGGGGTCCTGACGCGGGTGGCGCTGTGGTCTAAACCCCTGAGCCTCTTGGGCTTGCCGATTGGAAAGGTTGGCAGTTCGAATTCATGCGATGGGGTGAGCTCCCGTTGCTCTGTTCCAGCTCCTGCCAACCTAGGTACTGCTCCGGTGGGAAGGTAAATGGAGTTTCCGTGTGCTGCTCTGGTTCACCAGAAGTGGTTTAGTCCTGCTGGCCACATGACCTGGAAAGCTGTCTGTGGACAAATGCCAGCTCCCTTGGCCTGAAGTGAGATGAGCGCCACAACCCTGTAGTAACCTTTGACTGGATTTCTCACTTGCCACTCATTTGCAGGGGCGTTACTTAAGTACTGAGGGGTGTGGCCCTTCCCCTAGTATCAGGCATGCTCCCTGACCATATCTGCCCTGTTTGTGTGGTCGTCTGCAAGTGAAAAGCCTTTCCTCATTTTAGTGTAGTATTAGTATAATTTCAATTTATTACCTGCTGTTCGCTGTAAGGTCCCAGTGCATCTAAGAGTTTATTATGCCACTATTCACCAGTAGGCCCCAGAGATGTTTACATTGGTAAACAATTCAACAGAATTCAAATCAAATATAATTAAAACAATTCCTTGACTCCAACACAAAGAATAATATTTTAAATGGCAGCATTGAGTTGTTAATCAATTCTGCATAAATCTGAGTGTAAAAAGCTAGCAGTTCATTTCCTCAGCTGAAAGAGGTTTGCCTTAATCTCTTTTCTAAAAGCGCATAATGAAGAGGTCAGATGTACCTCAGGGGACTATGAAGTAAGCCCTTCCCTAGGTCCCCATGCTGTATATTATACATGTCCTCCACCTGCATCAAATTCCATGCCAAACCATCCATTGACATCAAAAACCTATTGACAATGGCAGCAAATCGCTTTACTCTTAAACTATGAGTCTTCTTCTAGTAGGTCCGAACAAGAGATGTCAGAAGGCATCCCATTCGGTTCTGCTTTCTATTCATTGCATGCAGCACCTTTTCCTTTCCACTGCAATTCATCTCCCACCAAAAAAGAAAGCATCGTTTGCCATGCCGCCTGCGATGGTGAAGCTACATAACTTACATAATCAATTGCAATAGATTACATTGTTGTTGCTTGGTTCCAATGGAAAGGGTGGTGTCATTAATTGTGTGGCATTTGCAGACCGAAAGCAACAACAAGAGCGAGAGCCGTTTGCATTCAGTGGATTAGTTTCCCTTTCAGACATGGGACAAATATGTGGCCATTTCTGCTGTTGTTTCCATTTTTGTCACAGTTATCCCACACCCCTATTTAGGAGCCATGAATGGATAAAAAACAGCAAGATACCCCTGGACAGTTAAGTTATGGTTACCAGATTTTTTTCAATGAATCCAGGGAAACTTTTTTTTTTTTTTTTAAGCTGAGTAGCAACAGGGAGTCAGTAGTGGGGATGGTGAGGCAAAAGACTCTGGGCCCAAGCACACATGCATATTGTATAACGGTGCAAAGCGCTTCTTTTGCACCCTGTGAAACATAAATCTGCAGGATTTTTTTTTAAAAAAAACTGGGCAACACCCGCCCACCTGCAACTCCTGAGCCTCCCTCGATCAGGCAAAACAAAGGGGGGAGGGGGGAAGGAGATCGGGGGAGGCTCAGGAGTTGTGGGTGGGCGGCCATTGCCCAGTTTTTTTAAAACTCTGCGCATTTATGTTTCACAGGGTGCAAAAGAAGGGCTTTGCACCTTGCCTGGCAGAGAAACCGCGTGCCCTGAGCCCCTCCTGGGCAACGGCCGCCCTCCCACGACTCCCGAGCCTCCTCCAATCTGTCAAAACAAAGGAGGAAGGGGGAAGGAGATCTGTACCACCGAACATCCCCGGTTCCTCTTCAGCAGTGGTGGCAGCAGCGAGCTGCGAGCAGCTCCTGAAGCCAGCTAGAGCTAACTGCACTACCAGGTAGGCTCCGGGCTTCTGAGACTGCTGCTGCCACATTTCCCGGGGTCAGATTTGCAAATCCGGGCACGGAATTTGTCCGGGGACAGATTTGCAAATCTGGGGACTGTCCCCAGGAAGCGGGGATGTCTGGCAACCCTAAGTTAAGTCCAGTCAAAGGCAACTATGGGATTGTGGTGCTCATCTCGCTTTCAGGCCATGGTAGCTGGCGTTTATCCACAGACAGCTTTCTGGGTCATGTGGCCAGCAGGACTAAACCACTTCTGGTTCAACGGAACACCGTGACAGAAGCCAGAGTGCATGGAAATGCCGTTGACCTTTCCACCGCAGCAGTACCTATTTATCTACTTGGACTGGCATGCTTTTGAACTGCTAGGTTGGCAGGAGCTGGGACAGAGCAACAGGAGCTCACCCCATTACACGGATTTGAACTGCTGACCCTCTGATCAGCAAGCCCAAGAGGCTCAGTGGTTTAGACCACAGCACCACCCGCATCCCATGACTGGATAACAGCCCCACCAATGGAAGATTATAGCCTCAGGCGGCATGTGGAGGACAGTGGCGGAAGCCCACTAGCTGTTCTCCCCTATCACCACCCTTCTTTGGGGGGACAAACCCTTCTTTTGGGGGACAAAGCTTTGTGTGCCATGCAGTCCATTCTGGGTCTGGGTCTGAAAAGGCTGGAGACTTCTGCTTTAAACCACAGGTCTACATATAGCACAAAATACAGAACCACCCGCATGGCTTTTACTAAGGCTGCTATACATCCGGGTTTTCCGATTTTCGGCAAATAGACAAAAATGTCCGGGGAAACTCGGACGTGGGGCAAGGGGTGGTAATATTTTCAGGAAAAGCATTAAAAAATACAAAAAAAGGCATGGAAAATGAGCGAGGTCCCAACTAAAGAAGAATGGCAACTTAAACTGATGGAATATGCACAGTTTGCAGATCTAACATACAGAAGAAAACAAGAAGAACATATTTTTAAAGAAGACTGGAAAATGTTTATTGACTATATGGGGGAAATTGTGTACACTTGAAAACACTGGCAGCATTAAGATAAATTCAACAGTATAAGTAAGTTTTGATGGATGTAATAATGGAATACTGAATGGTTTGGTTTATGAAAAATATGCAGGAATTTATGGTATGCAAAATGAACCATGGAAAGAAGAAGGGAAGTCATTGATATTTTAAGGTTGTTTAAATGAATATTCTAAAATGTAAAACAGAAAATATAATAAAAATTATAGGAAAAAAATAAAACAAAGGCCAAAACCCTAGATTTTGGGGGGAGATGCTCTCCAAAAAAGCTCAACAACTTAGAGCAAAAACAAACCAAACAACAAAACTCAACATCTTAGTCTGGGTTTTCACTTGGGGGAATAAGGCAACCCTACTTTTACAGAATGTCACTCTCAGTCGAAAGCTACAAACAGAGAGTTGGCATGAAAGATGCAGAGACGCTCAACTTCAAACGTTTGTACTGGTGCCAACAAAAACAGCACTGTGTGTGCCAGAATGCACGCATTGCATCAGTGTTTATTCAGTGCTCTTAAATAAAAATAAAACATAAAAAAAAAGTTGGGCCAGAGCCAGCCCTGAAAGAAGCAGGCTAAATACCAGGAATATTAGTAGTGCTGCCCACATTTCTATCAAAACAGAATTAAGACAACTATGCTTAAAACGGGTTTTAAAGGTTACAAAGGGTTTTGAATGGGCTGTACTTAAGACTTGTCTTAACTCCCACAGTTGATTCTTGGGTGTGAACTGACAAAGGAGTGTCAGGTGTAATTTTGAAGGCAACACAAAGGATAGGTAAAACAGGCAGCAGCTAGGCATGTCGGGTGTGGGTGTTCTTCAGTCAGAAGAAGATTGCTGGGAATGATCAGGCCAAACATAGTACAGTGGTACCTCGGGTGGGGACCAACCATACCTGGAGCACTTTACAGCATGTTATGGTCTAATAGAAAATTATATAAAAATGATTTATTGATGGTATCTAACACTGAGTAAGTTAGCAAAAATGTATAAATCAAAATCAAATAAGTGTTGGAAATGTAATGAGAATGAAGGTTCTTTTTATCATATGTGGTGGTCTTGTAGTAAGGTTAAAGCTTACTGGGAAATGATATATAATGAAATGAAAAGGATGTTTAAAATAAACTTTGTAAAAAAAAAATCCCCCCAAAAACCCCCAGAAAGCTTTTCTTTTGGGAATTATAGGGACAGAGCTACCTAAACTGTATAGAAACTTATTCATGTATGCTTCTACAGCGGCAAGAATGTTACTTGCCCCAAAATGGAAAGAAACAGAACTCCCAGCAAAGGAAGAATGGATACAACAGCTTATGGAATATTCAGAAATGGTGAAACTTACTGGGAAAATAAGAAATCAAGATAACAAAAAAAATTTAATAAAAGAATGAAAATGGTTTATTGAATATTTACAGATAAATTATAAACAGATAAAAACATTGACAGGCTTACAGTGGTACCTCGGGTTACAGACGCTTCAGGTTACAGACGCTTCAGGTTACAGACTCCGCTAACCCAGAAATAGTACCTCAGGTTAAGAACTTTGCTTTGGGATAAGAACAGAAATTGTGCGGTGGTGGCGTGGCAGCAGTGGGAGGCCCCATTAGCTAAAGTGGTGCCTCAGGTTAAGAACAGTTTCAGGTTAAGAACGGACCTCCAGAATGAATTAAGTTCTTAACCCGAGGTACCATTGTACCTGCCAGGGTTTCAGACAACCTTACAGAATCACTGAACCCCTTATATTTCAACACCAAACCACCAATCATTTCCCAGTCATTAGGTAACGTTGTAAGGTAATGGTACACTTAGCCAATAAAGACACAAAACTAATTAAAACTAATTATTAGTCTTTGAGAGCAGCATGAAGCTAGAAGCAGCTGTACAGGGAGCAGCCAGTGAAAAGAGTACATGAATATCCATTCATGACTCAGCCTTTCTTCTTAAATTCTGAGCGCTGTCATGACACCTTTGCCATCAAGTCGATAACAGTAAAAGATGCAATAAAGGGAGAAGCAAAAATTCCGGAACATTTGCTTGTGCTTTTTGTACATTTAGTGTGCGAGTCAAATAAAAGACCCACCAAAATAAATATTCGTTCTTGTAACTTGAAGCCATTGCCTCGAGTCCAGGGGCACAGCTAGCTGCTCCTAGTGTGGGGCCCCAAGCAACCGCATCACTCCCAGGGCATGCTGCAGGCCAGGCCCCACAGTAAGTGCCCCCCCCCGGTGTTGTGCCATTTTGACACACACACCCCAGGGATGACACCCAGGGCTGCCCGCACCCCCCTTCCTAAGCCCCTGCTCGAGTCCTACCCTTCACAGCAGGAGAAAACAAGCATGCTTGTTTGTGTTTGTTTGTGGTGCGAGAGGTAACCATATTTTATTTTATTTTGTCACTTCATGTTAAGAGTCAGATATACTGCCAGGAGGGGATGCGGGTGGCACTGTGGTCTAAACCCCTGAGCCTCTTGGGGTTGCCTATCAGAGGGTCGGTAGTTCGAATCCGTGCGATGGGGTGAGCTCCCATTGCTCTGTCCCAGCTCCTGCCAACCTAGCAGTTCAAAAGCACACCAGTGTAAGTAGATAAATAGGTACTGCTGCGGCAGGAAGGTCAATGGCGTTTCCGTGCACTTTGGTTTCTGTCACGGTGTCCCGTTGTCCCAGAAGCTACTGTTAGGACCATCATGAGATGTCCGCCAGCTTCCAACCACGGATACCAGCAGCCTTCAAGGAAGCAAACTTGCCTTATTGTCGCTCCTTAGCATCCCACTGCCAGAGGATTGCCTCCTTCCATTCACCAGTTTGCCTCCTTCAAGTGGAAGAAACCGGGGCAGTGCTGAATGTCACAACCATTGCCATGTGTGTGTTCTGCTGGAAATAAAAAAGGGCTTTCCCCTTGGCCTGCCTTTATATCCACTCAGTTTCCAAGTGCTTTTGTGACATCACAAGAAACCCACAGCCAATGGCAACAGCTGAGGAGGCATCATCTTCAATGCGGTTGGCGGTTGGACCTATCAGTGATTGTGTGCTTGTTTATTTGGGACACGGATGGCACTGTGGTCTAAACCACTAAGCCTTTTGGGCTTGCCGAACAGGAGGTTGGCAGTTCAGATCCCCACAGCGGGCTGAACTCCCGTTGCTCTGTCCCAGCTCCTGCCAACCTAGCAGTTCAAAAGCACACCAATGCAAGTAGATAAATAGTTACTGCTGCGGTGGGGTGGTAAACGGCATTTCCGTGCGCTCTGGTTTCCGTCACAGTGTCCTGTTGTGCCAGAAGCAGTTTAGTCATGCTGGCCACATGACCCAGAAAGCTGTCTGTGGACAAACGCTGGCTTCCTTGGCCTCAAAAGCAAGATGAGAGCTACAACCCCATAGTCAATTTCAACTAAATTTAACTGTCCAGGGGTCCTTTACCTTTACCTTATACTACCTTGTACAAATGCAGGAACAATGGGCATGTGAGAAGGATCAGTGGCAATGGGAAGGTTCCTGGAATTCTAAATCTCTGGTCTTCAATTGATATGTTGGGACCCACAACCCAATCCAAGGAGCACAACTACCATGCAATTAAGAAATGGGTCCCCAATACTTGTTTGATTTCAAGGCGGGTCCTTGGTCTGAAAAGTTTTGAAGATACCTGTTTTAAATCATGTGAGACATTGTGCCAGCTACAATCGTGTTGAAGAAACAGAAACTGATTCAAGCTGTGTACCAACTAGGAATGGGTGAATCTGTCGTTTTTCATTTCTCTCAGTTTCTACTTTTTTCCAGTCAAGTTCAGTTCTGCACATTAGTTTTCATTAAAAAAAAAATCTTCCTGGAATTCCTCAGCATCTTAGTGTGAATTTCTATTAATATACACATGTTTGTGTGCAATTTTGGCTACATTTTTTGGAAAGCATTTTCCAAATTAATTTTGTGTGTGTTATTTTTACTAATATATGCATTTTTTAAGAAATAAATTTATTTATTTGGATTTTCAAATTAAAATTTTACAGAGATATCAAACATAAATCATAAAAACAAGATTCCAAGGAATCTCCTGGACTTCCATCCTCCCCTTTGTATGTCCTATTATTAATCATTTCCTCCCACATCTTTTATGATAGTCCAAATTCTTTACATCTCCACTGTGTCCAGAATTCAACCCTACACCACAAGTGGTATTCCAGTCCTGCTAATGATTTTAACTGTTTACAATGGTCTTCAAGATAAGTTATAAATTTTCCCCAGTCCTTATTAAAATTTTGGTCTTCCTGGTTCCAGTCATCGGCATAGTCCATACTAATATATGCATTTTGATGGGATTTTATTCTTGTTTTATTTTGGAAGGTGTGACTTAGAGATGTTAGCCTATAAATGTGAACAGAATCATATTTCCTCCCCATCCCTAGGCACCATTTGATGAGCAGCAGGCTACCCAAGAAGGAATCAAATTATCGACAAAGTTTGTAATGAGAGTTGCATGGGCAAGTTATGGTGCCCAAGTTGACACTGTTGATAGAAATGATGGCATCCGTCTGCCCCTGGAGACAATGGAATAGTGTGCCTTTGTGGGTGAAGTCAACCTGCTGGAGAGCTACAGCGCTTGCTGTGGCTGTAGCGGCCAATACAGCAGAGACATGTTTTGTTGCAGCTGGGGCAGATGAAGGCATCCAGTTGTGCTACTGCAACAGGACTGTCCATGCCGCAGCTGATATCTGTTCTCAACATGTTGCATGGGAGCTCTCAGAAGAAGAAAAATGCTCAAGACTCAACAGCAAAAATTAAAAGATACCACAGCTTTTTGTTGGAACTGGGGCCAAACAGAAAAAGACGATGAAGATCAAAGAACGCACATTTGTAAACTCGATGAAGGCAGAAGATCTGTGATTTTGGAAAATTACGAAGCTTTCATCCACTTTGTGGATGGTGTTTCTGGCATTTGATATATAGGAAATTCCAGCATGGGCTTGTTAGCATTCCAAAGGAAATCACAAAACCCTCCGGAAATCAACCAGTTCCAAACATCATTACAGATTGTACAGAAATAATGAAGAGATCTGTCAAAATAGCCGAGGGTATGCTTATTATTGTGACTTATCATTTGCCGTTGCATTTACAATACAAGCAAATGAAAAGTCCCAGATTTGACATAATGTTTGGCGGATTTGACATCTGCATGGCATGTATCAAGGCTGCGCTTTTTGGAGAAATCTGGAGGCAGAAGTTGAAGTGCTTGCTGAAAGATCACTGAAGGTCTCAGTACAGGTGCCCACTTCAAGAGATGTAGCTGCAGCTATAGAAAATCTGTCCCAGTTGCGACATGCTTTCAGAAATAGTCGAGGAGCTTTGCTGTTTTGTGACACGCCTTCAGAATTAAAGCTCTGACTGATGAAACGAAACAGTGCATATGTGAAATTCTAAGTAAAACTGAGTCAGGGATGGAGAAACTCCCCTATGAGAAAAGGTTACAGTATTTGGGGTTTCTTATTTTAAAGAAAAGATGAGTAAGAGGCAACATGAGAGAAGTGAATAAAATTTTGCAGGGTGCAGAGAAAAGGCTATAGAGAAATGTTTTGCTCCCTCTCTCTCTTGGAGTGCGCTGGCATCCGATACAGCAGAATGTTGGAAGGCTTGGGACAGACAAAAGGAAGTATTCAATGCAGTGCACAGTTCAAAGATGGAAGCTGCTCTCACAACAGGCCACCAACTCTGATGGCATCAAAAGAGGATTAGACAAATTCATGGAGGATATCAATGGCAACTAGCCACAATGGCTTTGCTCTGCCTCCACAGTTTGAGACAATAAAGCTTCTGAGTACTGGTCACTGGAAACCACAGGAAGAGAGAGTGCTGTTGTACTCAAGTCCTGTACCTGCACAATTCCATACCTGGACAAAATCATAGCTGATGTCAGGGACCATGCTGCAGAGGGCTGCACTGGGGAGGAATGGTGGGAGCCTAACCCTCACCCTCCCCCTGTTCCTGATCCAGATCCTGAATCTTCACAGGAGCAGGAGGACAGTATAGATTTGGAACAGTGGTTTGCAGAGGGACATTGTTCAGAAGGCAGAAGCTGGGAAATACTGGATGGGGAACAGCTAGGAGAAGAGGAAACAATGGGAGAAAGAAGGTTAACAGATTCACTGTCTCTGGACAGCATTCCTCTGTCCTCCCCAAGGTCAAGAAGAGCTCAGAAAGAGGCAGAACAGAAAGCACACAAAGTACAGAGGGTACAAAATCAGATTACAAGACTAGGAATGATGTGGATTAATAGGGACATAAGGGGGTGGGATTCTTAATTGGGAGCACCGCCATTACTAGGAGATGTGTTCTTTGTTCTCTCACTGTGATTATTAGAGTTTCTAACTGGTAAGAAGACTCCTTTTCCTTTGTTCTGCTTATCTACTGCCATAGGCGGGTAGGGAGGCAATTCTGACAGCTGATCATGAAACAAAAGTTGACAGCAAGGTGTGCCATACACTATTGAGATAATTTGGGGCTAGCATTTACAGATGGCTCAAGTCACAGAAGAATATGAAACTACCCATCCAACAACAACAAAAACCCAGAGACACCATATTATCTGATACAAGTGAATCAACGGTGGTGATTGGTGGAAGAGAAGACTATTAAGTCTTTCCTGTCCTTTCCTCCAGAATCTGGTGAGTGGTTCAATTTTAGGAGTGAAAGCAAAGTCCATCTGTTGAAGATTGGTTTTATATTAACCTGTGAGCAATGGCAATTTCTCTGCTGATTGATTCATGTTCTTCCTTCTAAGAACAGCAAAACTCTAAGACTGAAAAAGAATGTGGTGAACCACATAAGAAGTTTTAAAAACTCGAGTAGGCAGTTCCTCATAATGAATCATGCACACTGCTAATATGCAAGTAACATACCTAATTAAGTTCGTTACTTAATACATTCATAACTGTTTTACAAGGCGTACTGCTTGCACACTGGGAAGTCCTATCACGCTGTTAAGTACATAGACCATGATGAGTTATATGGCTGTCACACAGCACGCCTCTTGACTAAAAGGTAAATTTCACGAGAAAAACTAGCATTGTTCAGATTCAGGAGTTTCATAGAACTGGCCAGGAGGTGCCCATGTGATGGGCAAAGGCCCCTTCTGTCTCCAGTACACCCACACGGCCATGACTTCAGCATCGCCGTGCCCCACCCCAGTCCTATCCAAAGTCTAGTCTTAAATACATATCATTCCATGACAGCCATGGGCTGATTCAAACAGTCATACTCCAAGAAGATATAACCATCTTATGGGTCAGTACCACTTCAGCGCTGGGTGGCGCTGTGGTCTAAACCACTAAGCCTCTTGGGCTTGCCGATCAGAAGGTTGGCGGTTCGAATCCGTGTGACAGGGTGAGCTCCTGTTGCTGTGTTTCAGCTTCTGCCAATGTAACAGTTCAAAAGCACACCAGTGCAAGTAGATAAATAGGTACTGCTATGGCGGGAAGGTAAATGGCGTTTCCGTGTACTCTGGTTTCCGTCATGGTGTTCTGTTGCACCAGAAGTGGTTTAGTCATGCTGGCCACATGACCTGGAAAGCTGTCAGTGGATAAATGCCAGCTCCCTTGGCCTGAAAGCGAGATGAGCGCCACATCCCCATAGTTGCCTTTGGCTGGACTTAACCGTCCAAGGGGTTCTTCCACCTCAGCAGAAAAGTTGTTTTCAATCTTATCCGGCTGCTAACGTCGATTTCCAAGCCTTCTCTCTGTGGTGGTGAATCTAGACATGTAACACTGTATGCTTTTGACTCTCCACAGGTAAAACGATCACACTGCAAACATTTTCAGCCGGTCAGTGTTTGAATTGCCTCAAATTGTGACCCTGTCTTCTTTCTGTCATCACATACCAGAATAATGAACTTACAGACTCCTGTAAAGAGGAGTCGGTGAGATATTTTCTGTGCTTGCAGACAAGCCATCTATTAAGGTCTTGGCACAAACCTCGTTTCATGGACATTTGCAAAATATATATATTTCTCTGTGAAAATATATCACCCGCTCCCAGATAATCCAACAACATGATTTTGCCAACTTCAAGGATGCAGCGGTGAGTATGAGGCCACCTATGTCCAAACTTCCAGAATTTTTAGTTAACAGGATTTGAATAACACTTAATTATCAAAGCCTCCTAGCAGTTTACATAAAAGTTCCTGGTTCCACAGAGATCCCTGTAAGGAGGAAGGAGGAGGAGCTCATATTTGCTCCTTTCACTGACGTGGATGAAAGACAGCCCCCTTTTGGTCTCCCTGCCCAACACAATGGCTAAGGAGTTATGGGACTGATAGAGGCAGAAGCCCATGTAGGCAGGGTGTCTGCGTCCCCAGAATGCCAGAAAAATGACAACGCTTGGAATGCAAGCCAGAAAAGGGAAAGCCTGGGGGAAAGAGGGGGGTGGAAATATTGTTTAGGACAGGGGTCAGCAACCTTTTTCAGCTGTGGGCTGGTCCACTGTCCCTCAGACCATGTGGTGGGCCGGACTATATTTTTTGGGGGTGTGTGTGAACGAATTCCTATGCCCCACAAATAACCCAGAGATGCATTTTAAATAAAAGCACACATTCTACTCATGTAAAAACACGCTGATTCCCGGACCACCCGCGGGCCAGATTTCTGAAGGCGATTGGGCCACATCCAGCCCCCGGGCCTTAGGTTGCCTACCCCTGGCTTAGGACAATAGTGGATGACTTCAGAGGCTACGAAGCAGAGCTGAACTAGCTTTGAGAGATGAGAAACTGTAGCATCGGAACTGATAGTTTCTAGGGGTTGCACAACAGTTTCTATCCTCTCCCTGCTTATGTGGTGGAGCAGAGGCTTAGTGATACTCACAAATGTCCACAGGATATTTTGGGGTAGGGGGCAAAGTAAAACACAGAAAATGGAGAGCAGGCTACTTTCTCACAAGCAATGAGAATAGTTCTTTACCACAGGTTCTACAAATGCTGGACACTCACTCTCCTTAAGAAATACCGTATTGGCTCATGTATAAGCCGCACCCGAATATAAGCGGCACCTTTAAAATTGGAGGGGGGTGGGAAGAAAAAAAGAAAAGAAATACCCGAATATAAGTCACTCCATTCCTTGCTGCTCCTGGCTACATACGGGGGGGGGGGGGGCTCTGCGTTGCTGGCGGCCTTTTCCCTTCCCTGCTCTCTCCCTTCCCGGCCTTGGGGGAGAGGATGGGGGACTACATGTGGGGCAGGAGCCACTTTGCCAGGTTCCTGGTGCTGTTTACCCCATGCTCCTCCCCCCCCATTTTTTAAAAATTAATTTTCACAAAATTATAAACAAACAAAACACACAAACAAACATAAATCATAACCTTATTAAAATTACACTTATTAACATTGTTAAGTGACTTCCTCACTTCCCCTTGGTTGAATTTCCATGCATATCCTTATAAAGGCTTTCCAAATCCTAATTCTTATAAACTTACCGGTAACTTACTGCATTAACATCCTTATATCTTTTCAATTCAAAATTGTACTTGTTAAACATCACTTAACTTACATAAATTCCTAAGCCAATCTGTTGCCTGCAAGCTATTTCCAATTAGTTTAACTTAACAAATTTAGCTAAATAATCGTTAAATTTTGTCCCTTCTTCCTGATGTTTGCCCCACGCTCCTGGCTGCATACCGTAAGGTTGCGAATATAAGCCACACTTCCTTTTCACAGTCAGAATTTGGGGCAAAAAGTGAGGCTTATATTCAAGCCAATATGGTAAATATAAATAAATGCTGGGAATCTGAGGATCATGGTTGATCCAGGGGGACAATTGCCCTGCTCCCTGTGGACACCCATGTTCATCCCTGGCAAGGTACTTTGTGTGTGCAGGGAGCGCACACGAGGAAATGAGAGATAAAAAGGGAACTTGATAGGTTTGTCGAGTTACAACTCCATTCAGTATCTCACTTTCCTCCCCTTTAAAGCGAAGCTTGCAGGACCATCTGTCTGACAAGTGTGAATTAAGCCTGGGTCTGTCGCAGTTGGTTAGCTAACTTAATGATTCTGAGACCTAGAGCACAATTAAAAGCTTGAAAAATAAGAGAGTGGCAAAGGAGAATGAGACAGCTGCTTAAACTGGGGGGAAAGAGCAGCATATCGGATATTAAGGGTGAAATCCCGCAGTGCAGTTATGCCAGCTGAGGGACCCTTGGATATTGCAGAAGCTCCACTGTGACAGCACAATGCCACTGGCATTGCAGCTATGCCAATGGAACTCCCCCGATATGGCAGTGGAGCATTCCAATGGCAGAACCAGCCAAGATACACTAGGGGGAGGGCAGCCCAAACAGGAGAGAGACAGGGGTGGGTACAGGAGAGGAGCAGACTTACACCACATCCTATGCTCCTCCTCCAGATTATGGCTGGGTCCCAGTCAATGGCACAACTTTAGGTCAGTCCTTGGATCTGGTGCAGGAAGGGTCCCTTGCATGTACTTCAAGGGGACACCTGAAGTATGCTTGTGGAACATGGACCACTTATAAATGCCATCTCCAATTCCTCGAACGATTCAATCAACGGTGTCTCCCAAAATTGTACACATCACTTGGGAAGACAGGCAAACTAACGCCAGTGTACTGTGGTACCTCGAGTTACAACCGCCTCAGGTTACAAACGCTTCAGGTTACAAACTCTGCTAA